TCACTGCCTCCATTTCTTCTCCTTCTGTTTGCCAGAAGGTGATGGGACCTGTGGCCATGATCTTAGTTTTTTTGATGTTGAGCTTCAGAACGTATTTTGCGCTCTCCTCTTTCACCCTTGTTAAGAGGTTCTTTAATTCCTCCTCACTTTCTGCCATCAAAGTTGTGTCATCTGCATATCTGAGGTTGTTGATATTTCTTCCGGCGATCTTAATTCCGGTTTGGGATTCATCCAGTCCAGCCTTTCGCATGATGAATTCTGCATGTAAGTTAAATAAGCAGGGAGACAATATACAGTGGTACCTTGGGTTAAGAACTTAATTCGTTCCGGAAGTCCGTTCTTAACCTGAAACTGTTCTTAACCTGAAGCACCACTTTAGCTAATGGGGCCTCCCACTGCCGCTGCTGCGCGATTTCTGTTCTCATCCTGAAGCAAAGTTCTTAACCCGAGGTACTATTTCTTTTGAATTATGGTTTTGGAGGAGACTCTTGAGAGTCTGTAACCTGAAGCGTCTGTAACCCGAGGTACCACTGTACAGCCTTGTTGTACTCCTTAACCAATTAACCAAGATGTTTAGACAACCTCATTGGAGATAAACCCATCAATAGTTGCTCACCAGTGGGTTTGTCCTACCTCCTCTATCCGGACAGGAGTGCTTCTGAATGCCAGTTGCTGGAAAACAGCAGGGGCAAGAGTGTTGCTGCGCTCATATCCTGCTTTGTGGCTTCCCATAAGCATCTGGTTGGTCACTGTGAGAACAGAAGGCTGGATTTATATGGGCCATTTGCCTCATCCAGCAGCGCTCATCTTATGTTCTTATGCTGAAGGTCCCAGATAGAGAGGAGGATGAGGAGCAGATTATGTTGTCAGAGATGTTCAAGTCCTTCCTTGTAGAATGAAGCTGCAAGGAAATGTAGTTTTGCTTTCATAGAATCATAGAGTTGAAAGGGACCCTGATGGTCATCTAGGCCAAACCCCTGCAATACAGGAGTCTCTCTAGTAGATCATCTTCAGGCTGCTTCATAAGTAGTTCAGCTTTTGCAGCAAGGAGACAGATGAAGAAAGGGGTAGTCACAACAAGGTTGGCATGCACTTTCGGGACTGCAGATATATTAAAAAGCAACTCAGAAAAGCCTGGAAAACCAAGCATGGATTTCAAGGAGGGAGGCACCATGGTGGAAATCTCATTTACTGATTAGATTCTCCTTGGGTTGCAAAACAGAAGCGTTTAATTGCCATTAAACAGAGGCGCTTTTCTAATCCATTCCCTCTTACCAGGAAGACACACTCTGTCCTTAGGAGTATTCACGCTAATCAGACTTGTGCTTCCTCCAGAATTTTAAGAAGCGTAATTAGGAATCCTGGCACTAACCTCGTCATTTTTAATATGCAGCTGTTTATGAAAACCCAAATCCTTCCAGTGGCGGAGAGATAATATAGGATGCTGGCTTATACGGAATCAGACGGTTCCACAGTTTCAAACAAGGGTCTCTTCCAGCCGTATCTGGAGATGCTGGGGATGGAACCTGGGAACAGAATTCTGCTTGTAAAGCAGCTGCCTTTACCATTGAGCTACAGCCCTTTCCCCATAATATCTGAATACTTTCAGCAAATGCTGCCCATTCATGCATATATGTTGTTGTTCAGTCATTTAGTCGTGTCCGACTCTTTGTGACCCCATGGACCAGAGCACACCAGGCACTCCTGTCTTCCACTGCCTCCCGCAGTTTGGTCAAACTCATGCTGGTAGCTTCGCGAACACTGTCCAACCATCTCGTCCACTGCCGTCCCCTTCTCCTTGTGCCCTCCATCTTTCCCAACATCAGGGTCTTTTCCAGGGAGTCTTCTCTTCTCATGAGGTGGCCAAAGTATTGGAGCCTCAGCTTCAGGATCTGTCCTTCCAGTGAGCACTCAGGGCTGATTTCCTTCAGAATGGAGAGGTTTGATCTTCTTGCAGTCCATGGGACTCTCAAGAGTCTCCTCCAGCACCATAATTCAAAAGCATCATTTCTTCGGCGATGAGCCTTCTTTATGGTCCAGCTCTCATTTCCATACATCACTACTGGGAAAACCATAGCTTTAACTATACGGACCTTTGTTGGTAAGGTGGTGTCATGCATATATACCCAGATGTTAAACATGATGCTGTTGTGGCCTGCAGACTGAAAACAAAGGATGGCTTAACTTAGTGGGGAACTATGCAATGCACACATCTTCCCTCGAGCCAGTATATGTCTCCTGGCCTAAATCTGGTACCTATTTTTAACTGACGGTCTTTTTTTCAGCTTTCGGGGTTCTCTCTTGCCAGACTCTCTTTGGGAAGGGAAGGAAGGTCTCCAAGCAGGATTTCGCTTAATCTCTGACCTACTGAGAGCACGTTGCTGGTGTTTGGTTTTGGCGAGTGGGTGATGGTTGCACAAACAGTCCAATAAAAACACTGTCCGTTGACTCTGTACAGGTTTTATGAGTCTAGCAAGTTACCCAAGTCTGGAGAGCCTTGTGGCACGTTTACATTAGTACTGCTTTTCACCCACTTAATCCAGTGCCTTGCTAGCTACAAAGGTGTTCATTATAACCTCTCTCTAGTGCTGTCTTCAGTGGCTAATGAGATTTTTGGAAGCTGGGACAGAGAGCCATAAAGGGGGGGGGGGAGTATTGTTCCTTGGGATTTAATAATTCACACTAGCTATTACTAGCAGCTTCGTCCCCAGGGTTGCTTGGGAATTCTAAGAAGACAAAACAATACAAAACAAAAACAAAAAACCCAGCTTTGAAACCAGTGGTTAAAATCAGTTCAGTTCTGAAAGATTCACCATCTTTATTCAAAATGGCATCCGGTTGCATCCAAACATAGACTTGTTCTCAGGAAACATTGTGCCAAATTTATAAAATCTTAAGAGGTGTCCAAATGCATAGCAAAGAAATAAATAACTTTCTGAAAGATAGTAGTAGATGGATAAACGGGATGTGTATAATTTATTAGACATTTGTTTGTTTTGCCCCGGCGCTCTCCCTGCGAAAACTGCTCTTTACTGCTGAATCAGAGCAAATAGCAATCCCCAGAAAACCTGAATTGCCATTTGTTCCAATGTATCGTCCTAAAACCAGTTTGAAGTTCATATTGTGATACCGGTTTCATAATTTTTGACCTGGTGATTTATCACTAATCATGGTGTGTGTGTGTGTATGTGTGCTGTGCAAAAAATCGCAATGTGGGAAAAACCATGAAGCCAGCCAATGCCTCTACGTAGCTCCATACAGTGGTACCTCACAAGACGAATGCCTCGCAAGACAAAAAACTCGCTAGACGAAAGGGTTTTTTGTTTTTTGAGCTGCTTCGCAAGACGATTTTCCCTATAGGCTTGCTTCGCAAGACGGAAACGTCTTGCAAGTTTGTTTCCTTTTTCTTAACACCGTTAATACAGTTGCGACTTGACTTCGAGGAGCAACTCATAGAACGCGGTGTGGTAGCCTTTTTTGAGGTTTTTAAAGACTTTGGTGATTTTTGAAGCGTTTCCAAAACTTTTCCGACACCGTGCTTCGCAAGACGAAAAAATCGCAAGACAAAAAAACTCGCAGAACGAATTAATTTCGTCTTGCGAGGCACCACTGTATTTCAGACATCGTGATATATCAGTATATTGTGATGTTTAGCTGGTGGTATATAACGATGTTGAAAACTAGATATTGCCAAGCCCTAGTTCCAATTCAGCGTTAAAGAGCAGGTTTTCCTGAGGAAAGTGGGGTGGGGAGAACCCCTCAGACAGAGTTTTAAAGCATGGACCCATGCCTAGAAAAAGTGGGGCAAAAGGTAAGTGTGGCTGGGCCTATAAACTCTCAAGGGCCAGTCAGGTCAGCTTTGATAGAAGTGATGGGAAATCCTGTGTCTCGGGTAGCAAAATGCCTTAGGGACACCATGCAATTAAAGCAGTCTCACTTTAAACAGTCATGGCGTCTCCCAAAGAATGCTGGAAGATGTAGTTTGTTACGGGTTGCTGAGAGTTGCTAGAAGACCATTCCTCCCATCACAGAGATATACTTTCCAGAGTTCTTTTAGCAATCAATCCCTCTTCACCGGGAATTCTGGAAATTGCAGCTCTCTGTGGGGAATAGGGGTCTGCTGTCAACTTTCAGCACCCTTAAGAGACTCTTGCTCCCAGAATTATTATTCAGTACAAAATAACTAGGCAGAAAGAGTTCAAAATGTTTGTGTGAGAGTGAGAAGCAGGGGGGGAATTGCACGCTTTGGTTCATTGAAAAATAACATATAGAGCAGCTTTTGCAAAATCAGTGTCCTTCAGAAGTTTTAAATATAATGGCCAGCTGTGGTCCCAAACATCTGGAAGGGGCACCAGGCTGGTAAAGATGGCCGTGCCAGTTTTCTGGGCCTAAGTTCAGTCCTTGTTAACTCAAGAAATGGCAAATGTTTGCAAGAAACTCTTGAAACGGTGGATGTTGCTCTTATAACTGAAAAATCCTGAAGAGTCTTCAAAATTAGGGCTAAGGGGAGATAAATTGGTGTTGGGAGAGGGGAGAGGCAGAGGAGTTGAAGCAGAAGATTTGGGGGCATGATGGCCGATCCAAGGCCTTGTTTAGTGTATGAGAGAACCATGACGCCAGCGGCACGAAATCCTGATTTGTGCATACAAACCCAAGTTCCACAGCCCCTTCAGTGATACGTCAAGGTAGCACATGCCTACAGCTTCTCCCTCAGCATCACATTCCTATAATCCCCTCAAAATGCAGCCCTTGGAGAATATGCTGCATCGAGGACCACATTGAAATAGGTTTGGTAAGGTAGATAATTTCCCCTCGCTCCACTTCCTAGGTCTTTTTCCTTCCCTGAGACTCACGATGGGTTATTTTGCTGATTTTAAAGCTATATTGGACTGCTTTCTTAGATAGTCTTCTTTTATTTCTCTCTGTCTCTCTCTTCTCTTCTTATTTTTTTTTAATGGACGTTTCGATTTTGATTGCAATTTTTTAATTGCATTTGACAGTGACCCCCCGCTGGTTCTTCCTTCAGCATCTCTACCAGCTACGTTCTATTGATGGCCTGTTGTGATTTCAATGGAACATCCTGGGAGGGACCTGGCACGACGGGCACCATTGGAAGGAGGTGCCTTTTAGCCCAATGTACCTGGCATGGTAAGCGGCAACAAAGCAGGGTTTGCCTGCTATTCTTAAATGCTCGGGGGCTCGACTCACGCAGCAAGGGGGCCGCCTTCCTTCTTCCTCCGCCTCTCTCTCCCCCTCCACCCCACACCCCGCTTCTTTGACGCAGCTTTTGCACCAATTAGCCCTGCTTCTTCCTCTCTCTCCCATTGGCATGCCCTTGCTTCACCTGAGCGAAGGTCTCAATGCTTTGTTGAGCTTCTGTCTGCCCTCCCTGAGTTCCCCATGTGTCGCGGGGCCTCCTTCCATTGAGATGCTCCTTTGTTCCGTTTGCATAGCGCTTCCATGTCTCGTTGGCTTGCTGTTCGTCTGTTCAGAGTGGGATGGGGAAACCTTTTTCTTCCAGCCTGAGGGGGGGGCACGTTCCCTTCTGAGCAGCCTTCCAAGGCCCACATTGCCGGTGGTGAACGGGGCCAGGGGCAAAAGTGAGCATCTGCTTGACCTCTGTGCAGTAGGATCGTTTCTACACCAGTGTTTCTCAAACTTGGGTCCCCGGCTATTGTTGGACTACAACACCCATCATCCCTAGCTAGCGGGACCAGAGGTCAGGGATGATGGGAGTTGTAGTCCAACAGCAGCCGGGGATCCCAAGTCTGAGAAACAAACCCAACAAAAGCTCAAGGGGTGTGTGAAGCAGAGCCAGTGAGGGGGGTGGCCTGGAGAAGGTTCCAAGGGCCACATTGGGAGACCTGGAGAGCAGAGGGTAATTGGATGTCAAGCTTCCAGGATCTACTTTGTTTTTACTCATGATACAAAACAGGTTCAGGTGTGTGTTTACATATTAAGGTCCACAGTGCCTACTTAGCTCAGGAACTTGTTTTGGGGTATAGCTGTCAACCTTCCCTTGTTTTGCGGGAAATCCCCTTATTCCAGTGCCGTTTCCTGCTGCTTCCCTCTGCTATCCCGGATTGTTAGATATCCCGTAGACTGTCCCCGGGACAGGTGAGGCTGCTGATCCCTTTTTTTCAAATCTGAAAGTTGGCAGCTATGTTTTGGGGGTATGAACTGAGCTCACAGTCCTTCCACATGCTCCTCTACTCCTGGCACTTCTTCCGCCGTCCCCAAAAAGCAACCACAAATGGTATTCAACCAAGTTTTACTCAGAAGAGACCCATTTGGAAATAGTGGGCCTAACTTAGGCCACCTTCACACCATACATTGAAAGCGCTGTGGTGCCACTTTAAATAGTCTTGGCTCCCCCCCCCCCCCGCCGCCCCAAAGAATTCTGGGAGCTGTAGTTTGTTAAACATGCTGTGAGAGTTGCTAGGAGACCCCTATTTCCCTCACAGAGCTACAATTCACAGAGTTCCCATTGAAGGGGATTATTAATCCACTCGTGAGAATTGTAGCTTTTGTGAGGGGAATAGGGATCTCCTAGCAACTCTCGGCACCCTTAACAAACTACAGCTCCCAGAATTTTTGCAGGAAGCCGTGACTGTTCAAAGTGGTATGAAAAAGGCCCTTAGCGGCGCTGGATTACCCAATGAGCAAGATTAAGCAAATGCTCAGGGCCACCAGCAAAGCACGGGCATGAAAGAAAGGTTTTTTAATATATATTTTTAAGGATTTGACGTTTGTTATTTCAAAAAGAAGCATCAAAATAGTCTTCATGGGGAAAACCAGAACTATTTTTAGACACTACACCATTTTATTTTATGGGTTAGTATTGTTTTTATTTCAAATTACTTAAGGGGGCATTATAATCCTATCAGTGCATAGGGGCTCTAAAGGTCTTAAATCTGGAGGTGGGCCTTAGCCATGTTCATTATTTCCAATGGGTCTACTCTGAATAAAGCAGCCCAGATCAGCATGTTCAGGGTAAACCATTAACTATGCTTTGCAATGTGCAAACTGGGCCAGCATGTCTCTTAATCCCATTGCATTTTTAGCACACACACAAAAAGGGTCCTCACTGGATGAGAATCTGTTGCAATTTTTTCAACGAGAAGAAAGGAGCTGTTGACCTCCTCTCCTGGCTGTTTAACAATGATAGCTGACCTAATCATTTAAGAGGGCCAAACTGCATGTCAATTTGAAGTGTGCATTTTTAAAAGCACACGGGCCGCTATCTTTCCCAAAATTGTTTTGGCAGAAAAGAAGATTGGTATAGAGGCCCTAGTCTGGGTTGGATTCATAATGCACAGAGAAAGTTATCTCTTCCCACTGAGACTCACACTCCGAAGGTCCTCTTGGCAGCAACTGGGGAGTGGTGGTGGTGGTGGCAGGAATAGCAGCTTGGAGAAGGATGGAGGATTGTTGACGAGCAAATGGTGCAGGAAGAAAAGAGCTAAGAAGCAGAATGCCCTCCCTGCAAGCCCTCATCCAAGGCCTTACACAAAAGCTGCTTTTTCTGAAAAAAAAGAGAAAAGCATAATTGACTATTGTTGTTTTTAAAATATGCCTGACGTATACTTCAGCTCTTAAGATTTACACATTATGCCTCTGAATGCCATTTTCTGGGAATCACAAGTGGGGAGAGCACTGTTGTGCTCATGTCCTACTTTCAGGCTTCCAAGGGGGGCATCTGGTTGGCCAGGGTGAGAACAGGATGCCCGGCTAGGTGGACCCACTGGCTTGAGGAGGAGAGGGCTATTGATGGACACTAGCCATGATGGTAGGGACGCGGGTGAGCCTAGGACTTGCTGATCAGAAGGTCAGCGGTTCGAATCCCCGCAACAGGGTGAGGTCCCGTTGCTCGCTCCCTGCTCCTGCCAACCTAGCAGTTCGAAAGCATGTCAAAGTGCAAGTAGATAAATAGGTACCGCTTCAGCGGGAAGGTAAATGGCATTTCCGTGCGCTGCTCTGGTTCACCAGAGCGACCCAGAAGCTGTACGCTGGCTCCCTTGGCCAATAAAGTGAGATGAGCACTGCAACCCCAGAGTCCGCCACGACTGAACCTAATGGTCGGGGTCCCTTTACCTTTACCTTTAGCCATGATGGTTGTTATCCTCTGCCTCCATGGTCGGAGGCAGTTGTGCTTCTGAATCCCAGTGGCTGGAGACCACAGAAAGGGAGAGTGCTTGGAGGTTTCCCACAGGCACCTGGTGGTCACTGTGAGAACAGGATGCTGGACTAGAAGGGCCATTGGCCTGATCCAGCAGGCTCTTCTTATCTTCATCTAGAGTCTGCCATATACCAAGTCAGATCACTGGTCCATCCATCTCAGAATAGTCTACATTGACCAGCAGAGGCTCTCCAAGGTTTCTGACAGGGGTCTTCCATCAGCTGGACATGCCATTGAGGATTGAGCGTGGCACCTTCTGCATGCACAGCAGATGTTCTGCCGCTGATCCCCACCCATTTCCCCCTACAGACAGGTTTTGGAGGGTTTGCTTCAGTTGCTGGGCAGAGGCATGCCACTTAACATTGCAGGCATCAAAGCACCAGAATCCCTTTCTATTTCCCCCTTCTTCTCCTCCTCCTTCTGGGCACATATTCCTTGCCTTGATCTTTGTAATGTTCTGGGCACCACTGTAAGCGCAACGTGACTCTCCTTTTCCAGGAGGGAGAAGAGGATGCAGGGAACGGGAAGCAGAGCCAAAACAATTTGGCAGAGAAATAGTGGGCACAGTGTTTTTTTCTTTAGTCAGCAAATTGCATAGCAGGCGGCCACTTCAGCCTTCCCCTGCTTCTGAAAATGAGGGTTGCTGTCAGGCTTCGATCACCCTGGGCATGCTGCGCAGTGTTGCTTTGGCTTCGATGTTTGGTGTTTTGCTGTGCAAAGATTGAGGGACGACTTTTGTGTCTGGAATGCAGAATCAAGGAATTGTAGCTTTGGAAAGGGACCTTTATGGGTCAACAACCCCAACCTCCTGCGATGCAGGAATCACAGCTAAAACCCCCTGACAGGTGGCCATCCAACTTATGTCTAAAAACCTCCAATGAAGGAGAGTCCATTGCCTTCACAGGTAGTCCGTTCCAGTGTCAAAGAGCTCTTACTGTCAGAAAGTTGTTCCTGATGTTTAGGCAGAATCACCTTTCTTGTCATTTGAACCCATTGGTTCAGGTCCTTCCCTCTGGAGCAGCAGAAAACAAGCTCGCTCCATTGTCCATGTGGCACCCCTTCAGATATTTGAAGATGGCTGTCATATCACCTCACCTCCCCCAAGTTAAAACATACCTCAACCGTTCCTCCTAAGATTTGGTTTCACTCTGGGTCAACTTGGTCACTCTTCTCTGCCTTATTCCAAGTTAGATCTGAGTCCATCTAGCTCAGTGTTGTCTACAGTGATTGACAGCCACTCTCCAGGGTTTCAGGCAGGGCACTCTCCCAGCCCTACCTGCAGATGCTGAGGATGGAACCTGGACCTTCTGCATGCAGAGCAGACACTAACTCAGAGCTATTGCACCTTCCCCAGTTCTGGCCAAAGTTTCCCCATCCCCAGTGTAAACGAACACTGAAATTTTAGCTCTGTGAAATGCTTGCAGAGGGATAGTCAGATGTGTTCTGCAACAAAATTTTGCAGTGTGTCCTCACCTCCCAGCAGGAATGGTTCAGTTGGGAGTTGCAGCCAACCAGCCTTGGACCTCTCCCAAGGGAATCCATTGCATCTCTCCTAGTTTCGACTTTCTGTTCTGACACTCAGCATTCCAACCTGTCAAGTTCTCGTTGGATTGAATTTGGGGGATTGTTTTATTTTCTTGCACGTCTTCAAACCTTGGAAGTCGCCTCATCCCTTCTCAGTGGCCCTATTTTGGCACTCACCACCTGCGTTTTCATTAGAGAGAGGGATTGTCTTTGAGTACATGCAAGTGCGTGGGTGGTGATTTTATGAGTGTTGCATGATTTGTTGTGCAGCAGTAGGGTTGTGTGCTGTGATAGAGAAGCATGAGATAGCTTTCTGAAAAGAAGAAAGCACTTTTTGGAGTGCAGCCCCAGCACTGAAAACACCTGGCTGATGTGCGCCCCCTCCCAACCCGCAGTCTTGTAACTTTACGCAAACTCTGGCTTCTATCTGCTCTGCTGTAATCTT